AACAATTCTTGCAAAGTGGAGCCCTGCAACTGAAGTATTTTTTCTAAAAATGGAGAGAAAATGGGAAACAAACACAAGCTTAATAAATTAGGCCACGTAAGATAAAAATGCTGGAATATCGAAAATCATCAGAAAATAGTATCCTTTTTGTTCCTTCTGCAAATGGAAATTATAGCAAAAAAGTCTTAGATAATTCATCACCACACAATTAGGAGGTAAAATCCTTCCATACATAAAATACAAAAAAGAAACAATTTCTGCAGTACAATGTTTCTTTTTATTCAGAAAAAACAAGTGGAAATTATTCAAAAAGACTCAAATATTTAGTTTATGCAATTAAAGAATGAAGAAATTAACTTGGAAAATGATCAAATATCCATGCGAAAAGGTTCGATATTGCATATTCTTAGAACCTCGGAAGTCTGCATTCCTTAGGACGTCCCTGAGGAAACCTTTTAACATCAGCACAGTAATTGTAGATCATGTAACTCTGTTGGACCCAACGAATCCGGTTTCTGCCATTGGCATCGAGTCCCTGAGTTTGCCATGCCTGATTGTTCAAAACTCCGTTGCAAGAATTGCCCGATGCGCTGACAACACAGCCAGAGGAATTGTAGTTCCTATAAGAGGCAGTGAATGGGGCCTTTGTCCAGTCTGTCTTCACTCGTCCACCTTGTGTTGCCCAGTCGTCGGCATTCCATAAACTTGCGTATAGTCTCATTGCCTGATTCTTTAAGAATGGAACCCCATTTGCTTCATAGTTGTTGAAAACCCTAATAGGGATGTTGTCCACCAAGAAACTGAAAAATCCAATAAAATTGTTATGGGTTTTATAAGCTAGCACACATGTTCAATGTGTTAAAAGGGATAAAATCTTAATCTTAAAATCCGTGTGCTCAATTTTTTTGAGTCTAATCGAATAATTCGTTGGAACTTAATGGGCTCTGATATCATTTTAAAATTTGAGATTCCATCTTAAAAAATCAACCTTATTAAAAGTAGTAGTCAAAACATTTATAAATTGATCTATGTTTCCATCTTTATTCGATGTGAAATTTTATTTCCTAACACAATGAGGTTTACCCTCAATATAAAACTTGCATCCACTCGTAGCTATAGTTTTTCATACTAAGCCCTATTTGGTCCCAGTAAAACGGTTGATTAAAATCCAATTCAAAGTCAGCATTTAATTTTAATTATACAATTCAAATGATTTATAACTTTTTAATCACATATTCTATTAACAAATTTTATCAAAATCTACTAAAAATTCGACTTCTGTCTAAACTAAACGGGGCTAAATCTCAAGCCTCTAAGTTTGTAGTCTTATAGAAAACACCTTGCCAAATAATCCTCTATAAATTTAGGATTGTTATGCGATTGATATGTATATAGAATGCCTAATAGACCAAAAATACATGTGTACGGTCGAGGAAAAAAGTGTACGACAACTATATGATCGAAAGAACAGCTTACATTATTCGTAGTGGGTTCCAGAGAATGGTGTAGGTATGGAAGGCTGATGTCGGGTCGAACCAAAGGCGAAACTGTTGTTCCCTATCACCTTTCCCTTGGGCATAAATATTAGTGTGGACTGTATATGGCTGACCAGAAGCATTTCCCAAGAACTCGAAATCTATCTCATCATGGCCTGCACCAGCTGGAGATGACAACTGCAAATGAAATAAATATTTAGCTGCAAAATTATATGATCATCCGGTTTAAACTTGTTGAAAATCATTTAAAAAGTTTAGTCGTTAGAAAAAAAAACATAGTGTCTCGACATTTATATACTCTGATACGCTAATACTATGTTGAACTACCTTAAATTTATATACGCTTAAACAAAAGTAATTATTAGACTTACATAAAATGTTGTAACGGTGCCAGCTGAATTATCAGGTATAAGCTTGAGTTGCACGTCAAACCTTCCAAATAGAAACTCATTTTTGGACTGAAATCCCGAACCCGAACTATTATCGAGGGACAATGTGAGAACTTGGCCACCATTGAGTATTTGAGCACGCGGACCGCCAAAATTGATATCGACATCTTGGAAGAAGTTACCGGCCATGGCGGCCAACGAAAAAGTCATGAACATTGAGATCCTAAGAGCCCTAGCACGATTCGAGAACGACATTTTTTAGGGTTTAGAGAGAGAAGAAATCTTGAGACAGAAGGAATTGTATGTTTGATATTTTGTGATCAAGGCTTTATAAAGGTGACAAAATGCTAGACGTACGTAGTTGACACGTTCAAAAGGAGTTTCCGAGGAAGGGAGATAAACAACTGCATACAGCTAAGTGTGATGTAGAATTTTGTTTCTTTAATTCACATTTGGTTGTAGCGAATAGGTAAGAAATCAATGGTTGACATACGCGTTCTTGTTCTTAATTTGAAAATGTATTTAATTTCTCTAACGGTTTAAATTATTCTTTGACTATTGTTTCCGTGTTTTCTTCGGATGAATATACACTAATTCTAGATACTCGAACAAACCCTCTTCGACTCTCAAAAAAAGAGTTAAAATCTTATTTATTATCTTACTTAACTCGTGCATTGCCCTCACTTCTTAAAATTCATTTTTAATTATATATTTCGTGAGATCCATTACTTTTAAGTTTTATCAACTTTTCAGCTATACATTTCATTGATTTTTATCAAAATCTACTAAAAATTTAGCATCTGTTTGGTGGTGATTAAAATCAGATCTTTAGAAGACTTTGCTAAAAATTGATAAAATGTATTGTTAAAAAATTGTGGGTCCCAAAAAATATGTAGTTAAAATTAATTATTGATTTTTACTTAAATTAAAATCCGAACTTTTATCTCTAACAAGGGCTTAGTTTTTATCCAAACCAAAGAGAATATTGTCCTACAATATATATACACTAAGGCCCTAGTTGGTACGGATTAAAATCAGATTTTAATTTAAGTCAAAATCAAATAATCCTTATTAATCACATCTTTCATGGGTCCCACAACTTTTCAATCACATATTTAAAAATTTCTATCACAATCTAATAAAAATCTAATTTTGATCCCCACCAAA